TGTGTTGTCTTCTCCATTCAGAGGGGCCCCTGCCTGTCTTTGCCTAGGGCCCCATATTTCCTAAATCCGCCCCTGCTTACAGGGTATGAGTTGAGAAGGAAACAGGTTCTGCTCCATCGCTCCATGTATATATCAAGGGAAACATTAAAACGCAGACCCCTCCAAATAGATGTAACAGACTCATGCAGTTTCCAATCAGTTTGTATAATTCTAGTTGCTCTTCCAAGAGGAAAAAAGGATGAAAGAAGGAAGGTTTTCATTTAGAAATAACAGCAGAAATGTAAATGTAAAATGAATGGTAGATAAGTCCTATCATCTGTAGAAGCAGCAATGTGCAGGCAGTGAGTTATCTTACAGGAAGCAGAGTGTGCGTCATCAGCATCAGCTTGTCCTGGTCCTTTCTCTGAGTCCATTGTCCCCCCTGGTTCCGTCTGGTGCGCCGGAGCTTTCTCACATCTCCAGCCTTTCCACTTTCCTCTGGCAGCCGTCCTGCTGCCAGCCTGCAGTGCTGTGCCAGCTCCTGCATCTGGGAGTCCAGCCTGCCCAGCTCCTCTGCCAGCTCCTGCTGCTGAACCCAGAGGAAAACTAGACCTGCAGAGGCTAGAAGCAGCAGCAGCGCTACACACGTACCCACCAGCCAGGTTTTCCACTTGGGAAAAGTTTCTTTCCCGTCTTTCATGTCTGGTGCGCCGTTCCCTCCTTTTCAACTGCTGAGATATCTGAGCTGTGAAACTCAGAAGCACATATCTGAGAGGCAGCCAACATATGAGACGTCAGAGAGCAGCTCAGTCAGGCTACTGGAGAGGAATAAACATGTCAAAATGTGCCTGTGCGACTGTGGAGACACACAAGGTGTTGCGCAACCGGCATCTGGGAAACATTGCCGGATTTAAGTATAATAGAAATATTTCATGAATGACATCCTGCTGACAGACTAGGTCTTCTCATCCTTCTAGTGCTTTTGCTTTCAAAATTATCCCCAGAAAAAAACAATCTAAATGCTTAAGAAGTGGCATAAATAAGTTGGAAACAAGGGACACACTGTTAGAGTCTAAAGCAGCTTTCTGAGAAGTCTTTGTAAATGACAGACTGTGTAGAAGGACGTGTGGGAGTCCAAAAAGCTCTTTTCTTTCCAGTGCATTCTCAAATATTACATAGAGTGCTGCAAAAAGGCTCACGCCTCCATGCAGATGTCAGATCATGCAACGAGCTGCAACACCAGAAAAACATCATCTACTCAAAATAAATACAAAAGGAAATTGCAATTAGGAAAATGTTTCTGAGAAGAAAATATCTAAATCAAACAATCTCATGTTAGATCCCGTACCAACTAAGACAGGCCATGTTTTAGGAGAGATGGTTCAGTTTCTGCTGATTCAAAAATCATAAAAGACTGTTTAGTAAGATTGATAGAAAAATGAACAATGTTTCCCCCGAGCTTCAAAAATCTGAAACAGATGTTAAACATAAATAATCTGCGTCTGAAAGCCTTTTTTAGAGACTCTGCAGTCAGATCCACCATCTACAAAAGATGCTGCAAGAGGGCATCCAGAACTTATCCAGGAGGTAAAGTAAAAACTCAGAGCGGCTTCTAAAGCTTTCTATCCGTCACTTTCCACAGTTGAAGAAAAAGTCCGATCATATTCAGAATTCAACTTTAAATATGAAATGATTCTAAACCGTTCAATAAATGATCAGTGTTTTTAATTCAGAGTAATTTTCATGTGAATGTGCTTTACTGGAGCCATCCATGTTTGTCAAAGAACACTACTGCCACCTACTGGTTTGTGACGTCACGGTGCGGTATCGGCTGTTGATCAAGTCCCAGTGCTGTATCCAGTGATGGGAGAAACGGCGTTGAAAGTAATGGCGTTACTAACGCCGCTACCTTTTTTAGTAACGAGTAATCAAAATTATTACTCTTACTGTAACTATAACGCAGTTACAAATGCCGACATCCCGTTACTGCACGTTGCTCAGGTCGCACAATTAACCTTTTTTCATGATAGGACTCGTGAGGATGGAGAGTGAGGAGGACTCCTGCAGCAAAACAACGTTTTCCAGATGGAAATACCGGTGTTACGTCGAGCTGCGTTTCCCCATCAGATACGGTTTCCCCTGCATCTCCACACAGAGAAGGCGGCATGATTCACCGTGCTCGCGACAGGAAACACACATGCTAGCTAAAGGCGCGTAACAGCCGCCCTGTGCTCGCGCCACAGGGGAACTACGGAGAGCGTGAA